TTGGGGTACATGTGAAAAAATTTCTAAAACATGTTTTTTCATGTAAAATTTGATGTAGAATTCAAATCTGTACTCAGATGGGATATTCATAACCTCAAAACCCTTTTAAATTGAAAAAATATTGTAAAAGACCATGAAAGTAAAAAAATAAACATGTTCGTATACCTCAAATTGGCCAATATTGTAAAATGTTCATCGATACACCAAAATACAATTTCTGATAAAGTTTGGTAACTGAGTCACCATTATAGACCATTTGGTTGCTTGCGAAGAGTCAAAAAACATGGTTTTTTCCTCATATTCAATTCTGTAAAAAATAGTATGACTTCTTTGAGAAAACTTATGGCTTCATTAAACTTATTATCATCGTGGCAACTCAGAGAAAAATTAATATTTCTACTGCACAAAAAAGTAAACCATTTCGATAGAAACTCAACCAACCAAGCAGTCGTATGTCGTTCGTCTTCTAAGTTGCTAGCTAAGAACGATAAACCTGATGCTACATCTTCGGACAATACTCTCTTGGCATTGCTGACTTTCATTTTGACAAAATGATCTTTAGTGTTTAAAAACTGTTTTGTTTAGTTGGGAGCTAATTTTAATTCAAGACCTTCGTCTTTATCAAATAATTTATATACATAATTTTTATTGACGGTATCAGTATAAAATATTAAAAAATCATTTGGTATTGTAATTACTGAGCTATTTAAGAATGCAGTTTTAAGATTTTTAAAAGCATGAAGCGCGTCAGCGTAAAAATACAATAGTCGCTTTTTATCATACGGATGAGTACAGCTATTTGAAATTGTTGAATATCTACTTGCATTAATCCCGTACGCATTCCACATCGCTTGGTTGGCTGGTCTCATGTCCGATGTTACGCAATGTACTCTAAGTCCAATATTTTCTATTTTAAATATGATCTCGTCGATAATTAAAATTAACCTTTTTTCGCGCATAAATTAAAAAAAAATTTTTTAATTTTTTTTCAAATTATGACTGATGGCCCTTCGGTTTTTAATAAAAATGGCCCTCTAATATGACAATAAGAGAATTATAAGCTAATGGAATAAAAAAGTTCTGAATTCAGTGTAAAAAATCCAAATTTTAGATGCTTCTTAAGATTATGTTAAACAATTTTGGAAAAATTGTAACATCGCTCACTCAATATGTATTGTTGATGAAAGTTGGAGAATGATCAAAAATACAACTATGAAAATGAATGAAACAACCTTTAGTGGAACTAGTTGAGAAAAATCAAGTATCTAAAATTAAAGGTCATGAGCAAGTGATATGTGAAGCTTTTAACATTGGAAGAAATGTTAGTGGAGAAGGTTTCAGTGACTTGCAAGAATCCGAGCTATTTGATTTGATAGCGTCAACTGCGTAAACAGTGGCAGCATAATCGAGCTGAAGCAGCACAAAAGAGACACAAAGTCGGACTATTGCTGTCAACAATAAAGAGTGACGGTGAAAACGCAGACATCGCAGAACAAAGTGCGACCTTGAAACAATCGAGTTTATCCGAGCATTTCAGCGCAAGCAGGGTATTGCAACGCCAAGACTCTTTATAGAGATCGAGTGTTCAACAGGGTAATCATTTATGGAAATTCTCTGAACCATCTCAAAATCCATTCGTTATGTGTACGATAAACTGCCAAGAAAAATTTTAGTCGTTTCAGTGGGATTCAGCCTCAAATTGATACACACAGCCCAGTCCACCACTGCATTCGCATCCACATTGATGGCACCAATGAGAAGATTTATACACTAAGGCCTAGCATGTGCCTAAATTTGTTTATCGTCAGCATAAATAATGTAACCTTTTCGGCACCTGTCGTAGATCGTTTATAAAAAAGGTGAAAAGTATCCTCTTGTCAATTGCTGACCTCACAGAGTCTGTCAGTTCAAGAAGAGCTGTCTGAGTGAAGTGCAAAGGCCGAAAGCTGAGCGTACATAACCGAAAGTTGCTAAGCATCAAAAAACTTCTGCAGAAGCCGACTAATTTATTCTTTTCCTTACTAGCACAGGCCATTTCCTGATTCATTCTAAACTGTTTTTGTGTTTTCTGAGTTTTAATCTTTAATAAATCGATTGATTGTAAAATATAAAGCACGACTATTCCCTCAGCTGAACCTCAATCTGCTCCTACGTCCCACGGATCCTTAGGATCAATTTCTTCGTTATAACTTGTAACGGTTCCCGTGAACGCTACCATATTCGTAGGTGAATCCTAGACGATGCGCGTACTCGCGCTGGTCGCTGACTAGGTCAGTTACTCGGTGCGACCATTCGCACCGACCGCGGCGGCGTCGTGGTCCAACCTAGGATGAAATAACGGGAAGGTTTTGCCGAAATAATAATTCGCGAATTAACATAGTAATTAAGAAATGAATCATTATCAAGTTTCAAGTTCTGGATCGATAATTACAGTGCACGCAGCAGCGTGCACACACTCTTGCATACAGGACGTGATTGCACACGCATTGAGAGGGCTTGGTACTCGAGAGGTACTTACATTAGTTGCGCACGCCCTGGCCGTCACCTTGGTCAAGGATGGCTCCTCGTCCTGTTCGTGCTGCTGCACTCACGCACGCGATACGCAGAATCGGGCGGTAATCCGTTGCCGCGTACAAATGAACCACGTAGAGATTCGGTACGCGACACCGCTTTACGTGTCCCGACAATCAAGCCCGTTCGAAGGCGTACACGCGAGTCCAAGTCGTCCGTACCGCACGCACCCGCGACAGTCGGCGCTACTCGTTCACGCTAGTCCGGGTCGTTGCTCAGGGTACACGCACTTGCGACGTACGGCGTGATCAACTTACGCACTACGCGACTTCTCGCGATTTCGGGACCACGTCGATGTGGTCGTCTCAGCGTCCGAAAACGATCTCGCCGAGCTGCTTACAGTCGCACGGCTCGCAGGAGTGAATCGGTCACGTGACCAATTCGTCACCCCTGCTCCAAAATATTCTATGGCATCATGCGGTTCGCGACACGCCGTTTCCTCACTCACACATACTCGCACACACATGCGTCTCGCTGACACTGCTGCGTGAAAAACATAAGTCAAATGGTATATTTCACAATATTCTGGCTGAGGTGGCGAGAGAGCTGTGACGGCGTAACACAACCGTTACAAACTATTAATCAAAAAAGTTAATTTATCGTTTCAAAAAGGCCAATTTTCCAAGAACTAATTGCACCATTGGAAAGATGAGAAAAAAATACACAAAAACATGTACTTGTTTATTTTTATGGCGAAAGCCTTACTCGTGATAAATAAAGAAACATAAAGTGTAGAGAAAAGACAGGCCACGGCGCTCGAAAACGGCCGAACGTTTTCCTCTTCACTGATCGAGAAAATCGAGGAAATCCCTTTTTTTTGGAGTTATTTCTGTTGTGAAATCGCGAAATCTTTCGATCTTGACTATCAAAAAAACTCTAAACCTGGAGGCAAAAAAAATACAACGTATTTTAAGTTCAAGTCAATTTTTTTATTTTATTGAGGCTGGTTTTGCATTTTTTACCTCACCACTAGAAAGATGAGGAGAAAACACATCAAAATTACTTACCCGTGTTTTCTTCTAGATAAAATATGAAGTCCGTACAACGAGTCAAAAACTGCGTGATTTGGCTGTTTTCGAGTTCGCGCACATCGCTGGGCATCTATCGCGATTCTTCCCATATGTCTCTAGCACTCCCAAAAAGTAACGAGCATGTCAATTATCACCGGACATGTCAATGTTAAAGTCACCAACAATGATAGTGTGTGACGTGAAAAACACATGCAGATAAGACGCCGTTGGACGCCAATATACGACAGCAAACAGCAACTCAAAATTATGCTAAGATATTTTATATGCAGCGAACTCTGGGACATTTGAATAGATTGGGTCAGATGAAAACGAAAGTGAAATACGAAGATCAGAACGAACATATAAACCAAGGCCACCACTTTCGTGACGCAATCGATCATGTTCATGAAAATTGAAGTTTGGAATGTGGAACGAATTTGAATTAAGATCAAGTCTTAAAAAAGTCTCAGTTTTTGCAATAAGATAAAAATCATTTTTATTAACTATGGGCTTTAACAAATTTGGCTTCAGCTTAACCAAATCTGCCTCACCGGTGATTGCGATCAAGAGAGATTTATGAGATTGATACGCATAAAAATGTGTAGGCCTCGGACGATCGGTGGTGGACACCGAAGTGTGCAACCAGCTGCCTGGCACCTTTTTTACAAGCCGTAAAGTGGACTAGGAAGAATAGCCGACCCATGCAGTCTGTCCGGACCATCGTGTTCCAAATCCAAATCCAAAAAATGATCGGATACCAAAAACTAAACCAGTTGTAAGCTGTCTCAGGCGTGGAGCAGCGGCCAACAGTATATCACGAGCTCCAGGCATACGACCATGGTTCGCCCAGCACTGCTCGAAGATGCATACGCTGTAGCAGGGTCAACTGAGGATAAATTCTTATAAGTACTTTAAAAATTATAATTAATATAATCATAATTACCACTACACTATCAGGCGAATTTTTCGCCTCATACATGGCAGATTTCCGTAAGTTTAATTCTTCCATGTCGTTTTTAAATCGATTTCACATCTTAGATCGGCTCGAAAAGTTCGGGTAAGCTCGCACCTCGGGGAAGCTTGAAAAACTTGGGAAAAGCCCCAAAAACTCAGGTACCTGCCCATCCTTAGAAGAGATCGATATTTGTAAGTATTCTATGGCAGCCATTTCTGAACGTTTCCTAGTTATATGCGGTCCATCTGGAATTTTCTTTTTATTTACTATAAGACAACGACCTGAATTACAAAACTAATTAAATCGAGTAATACTTTGTTTCTATTTAATTTTTTGACATTCGAAAATTTCGATTTTCTTCTATAATGTAGCTGTTACTGTGACCTTTTTCGTACTACTTATAAAAACCTGTTTTCAAATATGAATAATTCGTTAAGGATACTATTTTTGTTTAAAAATTACAGATTCAGTCCATATGAATGGGAGAATCCACATGATTACAACCACCAATCAAAAATGACAGAAAACGAATATACATTATTAAATTCTTTATGGTTTACCATAGGCTCATTAATGCAACAAGGATCCGATATTGCTCCAAGGTAGAGATCCTTATACTATTTAGAATTACATTCATCATACTAATCATATTATCAATAACATTTTACATGAATGATGTACTTAAAGTAACTTATAATTGAATTATATGATCAATATCACTGGATAGAGTATAAAATTTTGTACAAAACGAACATTAAAAAAAATTTTAATTTTTTTCTTTTTACGGGTTCAAAATATCAATTTATTTTTTATGATCAGTTCAGTAATGTAACGCTGTACCCTTAAATTGATACCTACACAAGCGAAGCCTGAATGCAGGATCATTTTTTATTTCAACCGCGGTTATTGGAATCTTAGATACGTATTCTCTTTAGAAAACTCGCAAAAAATTATTTTGAATAAGATTGCTCCTATTCAATTAGGTATAATAAAAATAACAGCGAACCAAAATTGATTTTTTATATGGTTACCCCTATTTTTTATTGCAGATTTGAAATTTCCGTATGAAAATAAAAATTATCAAAAAATCCGATTACACCCGACTATCTCTCATAGAAATTATGAGTATTACACATTGAAAAACAACTGTATTCTATGTAAAAAGATCTCAGCTTTCCATTGAAACAATAAAAACGTAAAAAAAGGCTTTTTTTTGAGAAATCGAGTTTGAAAGTTTACTTGCATTTTCCAAGATGAAAATGGAAAATTCTGGAAAATTTGACCTCGCCATCGGAAAGCTGAGAAAATTTCCTATCGAAATCACTGGTTGGTCATTTTTGACAGGAGAGTTTAGGTACTTTTAGAGCGAGTTAAAAATTGAGCTATTTGGTTCAAAAACGCTGTTGCGCGAGGCGGTAGGAGTTTTGAGAAATGTTACCCTATATACTCGAGTCACGTTGTCCGTGTGCGCTCTTGCTTACGCGGGTGCCCACACTTATGCCACGGCGCCTATGCATGCACATTTGCACCGACTCGTGCAGCGACTCACCGTGCGTGCCTACCTGACCGTCCATAAGCCAGTCTGTCGTGGGCTGGATGTAACATCTTCCTTGTAAATGAATTGAACAAATTATCTGCTGCAGAAATGGAGCTTAATGTAGGCTCTAGAAAATGTAAAGTATATTTTCATTTGGTTTTTTTAAGAGATAATTTAGGTTCAAATACCATTTGTAAATATCAAGAGAATTTCAATTCTGAACATTATTGTCAAATGTGTAATCTTTCTGTCCATCAATGTCAAAGACTGAATTATGAAATAGTAAGTTTATTCAGGGCTCAAAAGGGGCTTAAATTATTTTATATTTCTATTTATAGTGTTAAGCTGAAAAAGTGAAAAAATTGTTTGTTTTAGAAAACAGGCATATGAGCCCTTTTCAACATCTCACAAAAAAGTACTTTATCTTGTTAGATATTTACAAACACTCAAATACACTGGTATAAGTCTAAAGACTTTCAACGATAAGCATTTGTCGCCTCTAAACTTCCTGTCATAGGTTTTCAAGTGTTTGCATGACACGATTGAGTTGTATGTGGTTTCATTTTGTTTATTGGACTATTGTCTACCAACGTAACCTCAAGCTAAGCATAAGATCAACTTTGACCACTTTCACATACAATTTTATAGAATATTTTATTAAAAATGATCAAAAATAATTGATAATAAATAAAATAATCTTATGACTTCACCAAAATTAACGTTTTAATATATTTAATACGTGATCCGGAAAATCCATTGACATTGACTAACTAAATCGTAAGATTGAAGAGCTTAGCTTTAGAAATTTAGAATCATGTCTACCACAAAAAATTATATCGGAGGCTAATACAAATAGTGATAACGAGAAAAGGAAATAAGTGAAATACTATATACTGATGAACTTTTAATAGGTAAAATATTTATTATGATTCCGTGATACACGTGTATGCTTCTCAACACATAAGAGCTAACTGACTACTATGGAGTGTCTAATAAGCTTGTAGCTATTCAGAGCTCTCTATTATAATAAAAGAGCAATTATACGCAATTACAAATAGTTCATGTACGGTTCGTTTATGATAATCTGCAGCTGAATTAGCATGTTAAATTAGATGTTTGGGAGTTACATATAACAGGATATTTGATTCCAACAACTATTGAGAATTATTTTATATTCATCGTAAGATAGTTAGAATAGTTACTTCTCCAAGATTCATGAAGACCAAAATTTTAAAACGTTTAACATCCTAACATAAGTACCTTATTGCGAATATATCTTTCGAATATTTACCATTGACGTACGCAAATCAAAAATATGTAGAGGGTACGGTAGTATTCCTTAGTCTTGAAAATAATGAATCTGGATTTAGTATCATTAGTTCACTGTGTAAGACCGGCAAACATATTTGAATAAAATGTATTAATACTTCACGCTTTCATGAGCACTTATTTGTTTATGAAATTGATTGCACGAATTCAAGTATATATATTCATTAAGAACAATTACCGAAAATTCCACTTATACTGTTTGTTGAAAAATTTGAAAATTTTATGTCATTAGTAATGACATGACTCATTACCTAGCACAATTTGTAATCTTTAAAATTTGTATAAGAACAGTTTTTCCTACTATTTGATGAGCTTTTTACAGAGGAGATTTTGAAGAGGAGTTCACGGATCTGTCCCAAAATTTAGTATGTTATTTCGGGATATGAAAATAACTTTAAGTTGAAATATCATATAGCGTAAGAATTTTTCCTATTTTTTAAAGGCTGTGTCTAGACGTGCGACAGATATATCGCCATTGCTTACGAGTAAAAACACACATTATCGAAGCGCCGTGAAAAAAAACACACCTCTTTGGATACCATGAAAAAAAACACACCTCTTCGGAGCGCTGCAAAAAAACACACCTCATCGGAGAGCTGCGAAAAAAAACACACCTCATCGAAGCGCTGCGAAAAAAAACACACCTCATTGAATGCCATGAAAAAAAGCACAGCACATTGGATACCGTGAAAAAAAAACACAGCAAATTGGATGCCGCGAAAAAAAACACCGCATTGAAACTTGTTTCGTTTTTTTTCTGCTGTTTTTTTTCGCGGCATCCAATGAGGTGTGTTTTTTTTCGAGTCATCCAATTTGCTGTGTTTTTTTTCACGGTATCCAATGTGCTGTGTTTCTTTTCATGGCATTCAATGAGGTGTGTTTTTTTTCGTTGCGCTCCGATGGTGTGTGTTTTTTTTCACAGCATTCAATGAGCTGTGTTTTTTTTTCGGGGCATTTTATCAGTATGTTTTTTTTCGTAGCGCTTTTCACTGTGTTTTTACTCGTAAGCAACGGCGATATATTGATTTTTGAAATCTGTCGACAGGACTTGTAAAAAGTACTATAAAAATGACCTACTTTCAAAATTGCCCTAAGATAGTAATAGAATGCAAAATTAATAAATTAATTTACCAGCTCATGATCTTGCGATCCTAATATTACCCTTATTAAAATTCTGAAACATCTGTAATCGAGCGAAGGTAACTTAACAAAAAAATGGTCTGCTAAGTTGTTATTTGTATGATTTGTTACAGTACACATAACTTTTATTTTGTCTAATACAGCAACAGAGACAATTCTTTAAAATGTTTAAATATCGAAATAATCGTCAAAGATTTTTTTCTTTGGTTTGTTACAGTACACATAACTTTTATTTTGACTCAAACAATAACGGAGATTACATTGTATAATGTTCGTATTTCGTTGTAATAATTTTCTCGAAATTTATTGTAGTCGAAAAAATTGTTAAAATAAAGTCACTCTAATGCGAATATAATACATTACATTGGTAGCAATACTTTCAGTCCTTCAGTACGAAATATCACTTTGCGTGCCCAGAGCTCATTGGCCACCAAGTGCTGTCGTGACATTTTTTTTAATTTTTCAGAGGCTTCAATTAGTAAAACTACTTTCTATTTCATTTCGAATCTTTATAATGTGACGGTAGACTCCCCGTGTCCACCGTCTACAAGGCGTTCTCAATGCCTGGCCGACTTTGTCGTTATACGACGCGCCAGACGAGCGACTGCTCGTCGCCGGCCAGGGTCCGGCTAGCTCTATAGGGACGGGAGAAAACGCGAGATACTACCTCGAGGTCGTGGGTACGACTCTCCTCCTGGAGGAGACGCCGACAAGTATGGAGCGGGGACTCCGGCAACTGCAACACTGCACCTGTAAAGCACCTGAAAAACCGAGAAAATCCTTGAGAAAGAGGAAAGGAAAACGACGGGTCGTATAAATAATAAAACAGTGAATTTCAGTAAATACAAAGATTCTATTTTATTCAATCTCCTCCGAATCACCCATTCACACGTAGCCGAAGCTGTCACACTCCCAATCACACCGGGTCGCGGACGCAAGCTGCGTTGCCGTTCGGAGGGTCTATGCGAAGCGCGGTAGTACCAATGGCTACTCACAGTATTCCTCGCTCTCGAGGCTCGCGACCGCACGGGTAGACTCCACGTCGCCGGGGTCCTAGGAGTTTCTCTGCTTTCCTCGTTGTCGTCTGTTGGCCACAGACGCGAACAGGGACGGGCCGGAAGGTCGGAATGCGTCGCGTTGATGTCGACTTGGTGCGCCGCACGTCTCGCCAGCACACACGCTCGAGATCGTGGCCACCAACTTCACACTCACACCAACACGCACCTAGACCAACTTTCACTCAACAATTACTTACTACACCCTCCTCACACACGCTCGACTACCAGATACCCCGCACAAAACTACTCAACAATGAAAACTCAACAGAGCTCGCGTACACTCAGCTCTACACTGCTCAACGGTCGAAATACAAATGTTGCGATCGTCTGCTAATTGGCACGCACGGGTCGCGAGGATCTTCGTGTCGCCTTGTCTATCTCTCGTGTCTGTAGCAGCTTCGGCTTCGCTGGGCGGGCCAAGCGAACGTAAACATGGCAATGTTCACGATCGTGCGCCACTGCGGTGAGCAAGCCGGGCTCTACCTTCGTTCCTTTAATCGCGCGTACCTGCAAAGATACCACGCAATTATTATCGGCG